GAGGTCAGGAGACCCGTCACAGGATGTGCAACAGTCCAGGCAGAAAACTGTGCAGGCCTCACTAAGGTAGAAGACCTTATTTGTTTATTTTCACAGGGGAGTCTGAACCCCAGGCCTTCACACTGAGCTGTATCCCCATCCCTTTTTCATCTTGTACTTTAAGAGAGGGTGTAACTAAACTGCTAAACTTCCCAGACAAGGCTTGAATTTATGATCTTCCTCCTCAGTCTCCCCAAGTATTGAGATTACAGACCTGTGCCTCTGTGCCCAGCTAAAAAGATTTACTTTTAGAAGCAGAATTTAAAAAGAGGACAAATAGCAGAACTCAATGAATCTTACATTAATCCTTAAAACTAAGCTATTACTGAATGCACACCCCTGAGAACGCGAGGGTATAGGCAGCCCTCCGTGCTGCCGTGCCTGGAGCCCAACCATCTGGGTCTTGTACTGCATCTATTGACACAGCTACCTCCTGCCCTGTGAGACATAGCCTCTCACACAGCAGCTGATGAATGGGCATTTCTTCTTGGTTAGTTGGTAGCAGAGCTGTCCACAAGCCAACAGTTTGGTCTTGGCAGCAGCAGCATCTTTGTCATTACCCTAGAAAGTATTCATTCATAACTCGAGTGTTTTTGTGAATTTTCATTATGACAGAAAAAGGAATGGAAAATGGAAAAATTCAAAGCCTAGCAGAACCAGAAGAAATGCTTTTCTGGCAAACTTGACATAATTTATACGAAAATGGAAGTTATTTGGCATCAACATGGCAAACCTTTAATAGGAATCACATACTTATTGAACTTGAACTTAAATGAGAAGGAAATAATTATGTTTATGGAAAACCAAAGAAGGAAAAATGAGAGGTGTATCCACTGAATTCTGTGTAAATGGCAAAGAATTATTTGAGATTTGGCAGTGTATTTGGCTTCCCAGAGCCAGCACTGCCTATGACATATGGCCTTTGCCCCATCTTCAATGTGCCTTCAGGACAAAAGGAAACATGGTGTTCAACCAGTCAGCAGATTTTTGATCAAATACAAAAACGCATATAATAGGACTGGGGAGATAGCTCAGTAGAATAAGAGCTTGCCTAGCAAGCCTAAGGGCCTGAGTTCAATGATTAGTTCCGGGGGGGGGGGACATACAAAAATGTTTTATAAACTGAAAAGCACAAGTGCAAAAGTAGTTATTTTTATTGCCTTGGCACTTCCAGTCCAGTGTCCTCATATTGTCATTTACAACCAAAACTACCCCCAAAGTATAAGTACAGCTCTTTCACATGGGTTCCTACCATAATATTGAAAATGTAATAGTAATTCAGTGCACTTTGATGTTTTGGAGCCCACTCAGAATGATATAATCTTTTATATCATGTCTTTTTTCCATTCCAGTCTATGAATATTGTAATGCAGTGGTGGCGAACATGGGCGACCACCTACTTGTTTTTCTTTTAAAACAAAAGATGTTAATGTATAAGTTTTCTTTTCTAAACTAAAACCTCAGTATACAGGTTTAAGGGCAGTGTTGGCACTTTGCAGCAAGTATGTGGGTTTGGGGTTGCAGTTGGGGCTCTCATCACTGAAAGCTTCACCATTAATGTTGCAGATGATGTGCAACCAAATAACAATTTCTTTACCGGCTTCTCCACAATTCTTATACCACACAGAGATTGCCCCCAACACTGTGTGCATTGAATAAATAAACTACTGTTCTTTCATTCGCTTCACACATTCTCTGAGCATTAATGATCCAACTACTATACACCAGTCATTTCAGTAAGGGCTTCCAATAAACAAAAGAAGGTCAAAGACATTTCCACAAGAGAGAATGACATACATATCTAGGTCATGGAGGAAGGGAAGGGCACAATGTATTTGGGGAACAGTAACAAGATGAGGATTTGTAGTGGCCAAAAATGTGGAGAAGAGGAAGCAGGGAAACAACCCATGGAAGACAGGGTAAAAGTGGCCTTGTGTATCGTAAGAGGGAGGTCTGACTTTACACCATTAGCCAGTGCTTTTCCAAATGTGACCTGAGATCTGCCTCTAGAAGGTGCACTTGGGAATGTGCTCAACATGTGAATTTCTGGCCCTGAAAGATGAGATCCTGGATCTGAATTTTCAACAAGCATGTTCACCTCTAGAGATCTACCAAAGTTTTTTCAGCAAGAGAATGCCATGCTTAGATCTATATTTTAAAAATAGGATCTCACTAGCAGACAACTGAAAACAAGGCAAATGACTGCTGCTGAGTGAACATGTGGCTTGGCTTTGCAGAGAGCCACCTGGGAATTTGTGAAAATGCAGACTTCACACCTCACCCAAAACATACTGCCTCTGAGTGAAGGTGGAGGGGACTAGGGCTCATATCAGGATAAACCATATAGAATTGCCACATTTTAGGTTAAAAAATCAAGTACTAGTAACTTCTTCTATTTCAATCTAAAATTTTAACAAACATCCCCCATACCTCTAAACTGCACAAAATTTGAAAGCAGCTGAGGTACAAACAGAACTCAATGCTTTTCTTTTTCTTATTAATTATGGCATCTGGCTGTCAAGATAGCTCAGCATACTAAGCATCTGCTTAGGCAAGTGCAGGGACTGGAGTTCAATCCCTGGCACCACATTCTGCACCAGCTCCGCCTCTGGGTACACTGGGCCAACCACCACATCCGGGCATGGCGGCACACACCTGTAATCCCAATGCTGGGGAGGCTGAAAACAGGAGGATCACTATGAATTCAAGCTGTGTAGTGAGACCCTGTACCAAATACATTTTAAAAAAGAAAATTATGGCTATCATTGACATTGATGTGCAAAGATGGAATTTCCTAATTTATGTACCTAATACACACATTGAAAGAAAAATGGGGATTAAAAACAGCCACCAAATGAGGAAAGGAAATGAATTTGAGAAATTTTGGGTCAGAAGGATCACTAATGATTATCCATCCCCACCCCCTCCACACACACTTCCAATATAGGCTTATCCATGAGGACACATACCTAAATGGAGAAGCAGGCTGCTTGAGGTCATGCTGAATGTTTCATTCAATTCCTCTACAGCAGCTGTTTTTTCATATCTCTTTAACAAGTACTAAAATCACCATAGCCAAAAAGTGTTGGGGATTTAATTTACAGGGTGCACATGTCACAGGAAGGAGGTCCTAACATGCTTGAAATGAAGGAAGGTAGTCATAGAGCAAACAGTTATGCACACGCATTTGCAAAATGTAACCAGAGAACTTAAATAATGCAAAAGTTAGGGCAGTTTTCAAATGTAATCAATGCTTACCAAATATTTATGAATGAATGGTTGGTCACTAAAAATAAGTTAAAGGAAGTATATTAATGCAAAGTATTTCCAAGGAAGTAGATTGTGAACTGGGTGTAGATTTCTAGACTTCTAATCTGTTCCAAGCACTCTTGTTTTCAGCCAGTGCCCACATCCCTGCAGATCTCAGTCCTGCCATGGGCACTTTTTCCCCCATTGACTGTGTCTAAACCAAAAAGCAACATAAAGATCACATCTGAGCTAAGTTCAACAATTCATCTTCACACATGAGCAATCTTTAAAACCCACCCAAACAGGAATAAACTAACAGCGAGAGCTAGTAAAAGTTACATTATAGCAATGCTACAGTTAACACTACCTCCATAATAAAAGCATAACTTGTACCTGCCTACTACACGGCAAGCTAGGGCTTCACATGCACTAACTTACTTAAGACCTCTTAATTCTCTAGGGTAAGCACTATTATCACCAGACTGATTTTATAGATGGGAATGTTTTAAATGACAAAATCACAATTGGAAAGCAGCACAGTGGACAGTTGAACCCAGGTGCCCTGACACCCAGGGCTTATCAGTAGACCTCTTTGCCCTCTTGGTGGCAAAACAAAAAGTGGCCTGCAAGCTGACATCTTGGAACACTCACCCCAGGAGGAACGCATTCTGCATAGTGTCATTTGGCCTACATTGTCAACCCCAAGGTCTGAAGTGTTTTGATTTGCGTCATGGGTCCCACTATGCACAAAGTGAGACCCATGATGCAATAAAGTGAAGCAAGAAGAAACAGGAAGGACTGCCATTCTCCGCCGTAGCACGGCCTGGTTAGCACTCCTGAAGTAAGAACAGTTAAACTGGGTCTAATACAAGGGAAAACTGAGTCTCACTTAAGAATGTGAGGTCTTCTCTTCATGTGAAGATGTTGTTGGAAGCTGTGAAAATATTGCCATACTTTATGTATTCAGTGATATCATTAAGAAAAATGCTTTCAGAAAGAAAAATAAACACAAAATATTTTCCTAAACCAGGGCAAAAAGCCCTGGATCAAAGGAAGCTAGGAGAAAAAGACTAACAAGTGAGATTAAACCTCTCCTAAGTAACTATGGCTTGGAGAACTGGCCCTTCCAGCAGTCCCAGAGGTGCCAAGTGTTCTGACAAGGACTCTAAAGTCCAAGCCGCGCGACCGGTAGCCCTGGCATTCCTAAAGAACGCTAAGGCTGGAGGAAGGGGGAGCATCCCGCAAGCCTGCACAATGTGAATATCAAATACTAGAAAGAAAAGTTTAGAAAACAAGTAAAGATCCAGGAGAAGTGAAGCAGATCTGAAAAGAAAGACCCAACTGAAGCTGTTTTCCACACTCAGATTATCACCAAATCTCCCTCAATTCAGGTTGGTCATAGTTCAACACGAAACAAATACTGCACAGCTAAAGCAATGCAAGGGTCGAAATTAATGCAAAATAGTGGGGAGGTCTTCCTACCAAAACTACTCCTAGAATTCCCTGCACAGTCCCAACCAAGACAGGCAAATATAAACAATAACATTAAACCCGGAAGACACACAAACAACCCAGGCAGAGCCCATCACGCCCACCTCCACCTGCAGCCCGGACCCCTTGCCTCAAGGGATTTATGCACCGCTCGCAGCCAAGAGCCCCACAGTGTCCCGCCAAGTTCTACGGCCTCCAGACTCGAGTTGTCTAACTCTTACCCAGATTCAGAGATCTTGAAATTTGCAGCGCAACCTGGTCTTTCCACAACGCCAGCCAGCACGGGAAATCTTTTCTACGCAGCGCGTTCCCCTCCAAGCAGCGTCCCAAGAAGAGGTCACTTGCCGGTCCTCGCTCCCGCGCGGAGACCGGGACCGGACAGGTGGCGACGGCTCCGCGCGTTTCCAGACTCCTAGTGTTGCGCACCGAGAAAGAAGTTGTTGCGAACTTGAACAAGGTTTCCCCTGTCTGGCCGGAGATGCTGAAGGCGGAGGCGGAGGCGGAGGAGAGTAACTTGAGCCCGGGCCGGGGTGCCAGCAGTTGCCCGTGCCGCAGCTGCCGGCCGAGGAGGTTGGAGCAGGGGTGCGCCAGGCGCAGCTCGCCGTGCCCGCTGCAACCGTCGGGTCCTCCAGCAGCACCGTCCCCCTGCACGTTGCCCCAACTCCTGCGCCTCCGCCCCCACCTGGGGGGACCCCGCAACAGACTCGGAGTTGGAGACCTACGGTCAGCGCGAGCCCCTGGCCGCGGTCACCAGGAGACGGACAATAACTCGATTCGGGGTCCGGGACCAGCGCCCCACGAGTACCGGAGTGGACAGCGCGTCCCGACGCATGAGGGAGGAGCGCGCTGCGGCCGGAGGGAAGGGTGCGGGGTCGGACGCGGGAGAGGCCCGGAGGTGGAGGGGCGAGGGCGAAGGAGCGGCGCAAGGGGCGGGGGAGAGAAGCTGGGGCGCCCGGGAGCCCCGCCGGCTGGCCCGCGGTTTCCTGGCGAACAGCGCCCTCTGCTGACGCTGAGGGGTCCCGCAGACCCGGCCCGAAAGTGAACCACGAGAAAGGCCAGCGCCGGCTGTGGGCCGGGCCAGGCCCGCCAGCCCCTGGAGGCGACGGAACCTGTAGACACCGGGAAAGATTGAAACCAGTCCGATCACCAGAATGTTCTTTCTTACGTTAATTCTACAAACAAAAACAAAAGCTATTCCGAAGTTGCAACAGATAATCTTCTCTTCCTCACCTCACTGGGAATGCTTTCTCTTTGGAGAACTCTTAAGTGCCGGGCCGGGCACAGCTCCCGCCTGGCAAGGAGTGCGGACGGCGCATTATGTCTGAGTGAATGCACAGCGGGAATGAGCGAGCATCGTCATTGTCTGAGCAGAAATCCACGTCTGAAGCCCCGCGTTCCTCTCCCCTGGAAACACACGGGGGAAGAATGGCCTCCTTCATCAGCTGGTGACTCCAGGCGTCAGAGTCCTTCTCTGGCAGCAGTGGCCTTGTTTCTCTCAGGGGACCACCCTGCCCCATGTATTCCCAACAGTCTGGGTGGGGAGATCAGTGAGGATGGACAGCCTCAGCCTGCTCTGAGGTGGACGCTGGCTGACCTAAGCTGGCTTCTCAGTCCCTTCCTCCCAGGAATCTGGACTTGGATGAGAGCCGCGCAAGGACAAATAAACCTGAAGCATCCTGAGCCCTGCGGCTGCTCTCTAGGGTCACAGGCCATTATTTTAGGCCATTTATTCCCCAATGATAACCTGCTTATGGAATTGTTGTTCCACTTTCCTTTGAATGTTTTAATCAACTTCATTGAGAAGTAATTTACATTCAGCACAATGTCCTCATATGAAGTGCACAGTTTGCTATGTTTGGGAGAACACACACCTGTTCAGCTGCTACCACAACTGAGATAGTAACTCCCTGTCCCCAAAGCGGCTCTTCGCATCTCCAGCCCTTTTAAATTTTGTTTAAATTTTGAGACAAGATCTCAGATTGGTCTTGAATTTGTGACCTTCCTGTCCCAGCCTTTAAGAGTTCCAGGATTAAAGGAATGTGTTAGCCTGTTTTT